AAACTGACGCAATTTTAGGAAAGGGACATTCTAATGAAAAAATCATTAGAGAGACGGAGCATTCGAGAAAGGCACGAATTGGGATGGAAATATTATGAGAAAGGGCACTAAGATAGCATTTTTGAAACAGTACAAAATATTTTAGAAATTCGGACAAGACGAATCTAACCTTATTTTCCCACATACCAGCAAAAAAAACTACCTACCGAAGTGCCAACACACACAAAAACATGCCAACACTCACATTCACACACATAGTAAGTTAGTAAATAATATTATTACATACTAAATACTACAGTGACGGAATATAGATAATATATCTTATTACGTGACGTGTAAATTACATTTCTGTTTAGTGAATGAAGTTAGAAACTGTGTGCATTTCTCAAGATGCTAGGTGCGACGCGGGTTTACGATTTGTATGGGCTCTGTTTGCTTGTCAGACACTATGTTAATACAGAAATTAGTAATAGTTATATTTAATACTGTTTTTAGACTGAAATCAATTTTAACAATAACGACAAGTGGTGATATAGTCTGACACGCAGTACAGGAGACAAAACCATTACTATTAGAAAGTAACAAAAATGCTTAATAACACTTCGTCCATGGCATAAAATTAAAATATTATTTCTTGCTAAAGTGTTGAGTTAAAAAATACACGCATCATAAATGTCTAGAAAAAAGGCATGTCTTTAAAAATCTTGGGTAACAAACCAAAATTAAATAAAAATATAAATTATTATTTTTAGTATGTTTCGAAATTGATCAAAAAACTTTTTATTGATTATGAAATTTACCAAAATTTATTTTAAAAAACCTGATTTTCAGCTATTGGCAAAAACTTTTATTTATATTTAATATCAAGCGACGGGACGAACAAGATCGTGCGCCTGAGAATAAACTACACTCCTCTTCATAACAGTTGCAGTGCTACTCAGACCTTTAAATCGCAAAGATCTGAGGGGCACTTCCACTGCGCCCATCACCCTTAGACATAAGTTGACAAGTCCCATGTGTTTCAAGTACAGCCACCTTAGCTATTTCTGCCGCTAAGCTAATGTCAGCATTACTGTGTTCCGCTTGTGAAGGGTAAGGGTGTTGGTAAAATTACAGGCACATTATGGGACTTTCTTTGCGATTTAGAGCTCTGAGTGGCACTGCAACTGTTATGGACAGGCGTGTAGCTTACCATCAGGTGCACGACTTGTTAGTCCCGTCACCTGATGTTATAAAAAAAAAGTTTAATTGGGAGAAAGTAGGCCTGGTATGCTGAAGACTCTGGTACGAATCCAGCTGGATCGAATGATTTTTTCTGTGTTCGATCTTTGTGTTAATAATTTAGTATGAATAATTATAATAAATAAATTATAGAATTGAAGGGATCGCTGTGTGTTTAAATAATGACGTCAAATAGTAGACGTGTTCATTGTAGTGTTTGGGGTAGTTTGAACAAGAGTGTATTTCTATTTCAAAATCATACTCTCATAATCAAGATACCAATCCGCAAGGCTAGTATAAAAATATCAATACCTAAATACCTAATAGTGTTATTAAACATTTTTCTTACAACTTGTAGACAAAACAGACAAAGGTAATCTATTCATAGGAGCAGTGTAAAGTTTTAACTTATGTTTACATGAAAGGAAACAATAACGCTTGTTATGGAACGGACTTATGTAGTTTATCTGATTTATCTTTGAACATTAAGTCACGAGAACGACGTGAAACGGTTTACAAAAATTAGTATTAAATATATTGTTAAAATAACATTGTTAATCAGTATATGCGTTATTATACGAATATAGAGGTTACATGGTATGTACAAATGCGGTTAGTGAAGATAAATTCATTAGCTGTCGGTTAAAAAAAATAAACAAAAGTCACGTTATACGTAGCTGAATGTATACAGAATGTTGAAAGTGTTTGTTGGACATTCAACTTTGTGGATAGCAAAATAAATTACATTGTCGAAAAATAACACTCTGTATACTTGAATATAAAACATTTATAACGAATATAGGTTTGTTCTTAATTATTAAACAACATATAATCAATTAAAGCTTTGTTTCCACTGTAAACTTTGAATATAATATTTTTTTTAATGTCGTTTCGGCACGAGGTTTTCTTAACTGCCGACATTAATTATGAAAATAATTTTAACGGCATAGGTTTTTTCAAATATTCTTTTACTGACAAGTCATAACATATCTCTGAATAATTATCGTACAGTCTAGTACATTAATATGTACATTTTTGGTATGTAGTAATGTGTTTACTGTGTTTCGGTTTTGAATGGTGCTGGTTAAATGGGAAACATGGGGACTTGTCAACATATGTCTCAGGGTGACAGGCGCATTGGCAGTGTCCCTCAGATTGTAATTTTAAGTTCTGAGCTTGCACTGGCACTGAAACTGTTCGTCCTGTCACTTGGTATCAAAGAAAAAATACTATGTACGCCAAAGTTTATAACAATCACCCAAATTTGAAATGCCTCTGCGACCGAATGGTTTCCACACTGGACTGCCACGCAGAGGTCTCGTGTTAAATTCCCGGGCCGGGAGAAATGTTTGTATGGCCTACATTTATTTCTCTCGTGAGTTTGGGTGCAATTTGTGGTTGTTTTGTTTGTTGTGTGGTTATGACTGTGTGCGTTTATTATTAATTAAACATTTTGGTAATGAACCAATTTTAATTCATTTCCAATGTATACCTATAGCGAACTCGATACAATTACATATTTACCAATATGGGCTATTGTTGCAGCAAATTATTTTACAATTTCAGAACCTTTCCTATATAATAATAATAATAACGCACACACTCAACATAGCCCCGCACTAGGAAAAACGTGTGTCGCGGGTGCCATGGACACACACATAGACAACCAAAAATTACACCCAAACTCACGAGAGAAATAAATGTAGGACATAGAAATATTCCTCCCGGCCCGGGAATCGAACCTGGGACCTCTGCGTGGCGGTCCGGCAAGATAACCGTTCGACCACGGAGGCAGTTAACTAAGTATATTTTAGTTACATTGTTTACAGTGAAAATAAAAACTACTACTAAATAACACGAACTACGTTGAGTGCTACGGGCTGCAAGCATCGGCATGCGTGCTTACCTTGGACGGACGACGCTACACACGGACACACCTCCTGCTTTTGAACTAGTGGAGCGGGCTTACAATGAGAAACACACTTTCAAATCATTACCCCTAATACCAGTATACATGATCCCAAAAATTATGCTGCGAATATTCAACAGCGAAATTAGAAATATGCTTTGTCATTAGATATATAAGATAACTGAACTTTAAGCATGTCTTTTTGAAAAATAATATAACCGTAAATAAATTTTACTTCCATTACATTTTTTTATTCCACTCCCTAGCCGCTCGCCATATAAATGAGGAAGCAAGACGCTTCGTGCGAATACTGGAATATCCACAACATTGAAGTGGAACGCCAGCCCACGTCTAGCCCCCGACGACGAAAAGGGGAAGCCGGAATAAAATCATGCAATTCCACCGCACACTCTCCGTGATATATCCTGTAGAATACCGATAAACAGGCAACTTTACGACGGTGCTAAAGGCTATGCAGTTTCGCCTCTACTAAATCCGAAGCATCGTGGTGGGACGCGGCCGCGACGCTCTCGATTGAAAAAGAAAAGAATGCTCTCGGAATATTACACTAAAAAGATATACGTATGGACATGTGGTGTTTTTGTTTCACAGCAATTGGTAATTTCTTTCCCCCGTTACATTCTCATTGTAAACTCGCTTCAAAACCATTCGAAAATCCGGTGTCTTCTAACAACAGGTGCAGTGCATACATACCATCTCAGTGGTGACACGTTCACGTGTTACTTACATACCGTTACACTTACTAATCATACTGTACTAATACCATATAATGACCAGAATTAAAAAAAAACCCTTTTAGCACCAAGGTCCATTATCCACCAAAGCGATGAAATATCGTTATTTTGACAGCTCCATTCGATTAATGAAAATAACGATTCGATTTGTTGTTTCAGGTGTTTGAGAATGGATTAAACATATTCTTCAATAGTATTTATTGCTCAGGCTACTTGTGTTACTTAATATTTAGTGTAGTCTTAATTAGAGTTGGGTCAAAACAAAGTATATTTTTAAAACACTTTGTGTACCCACACAATTTTATATACATATATAATTATTTATAACTATAAACATTTATTTTTTATATCATGTGTTTTAATTAATAGATTTTGTGTGTGAAATGTGAAAGAGAATCCTTAGGCTATTTCAAGTCCAAACATGACTTTTTTTAGTACGCAGTAGACCCCAAGACCATAAAGTTGGGTCGCATTTTATAAACGCTAAATAGGTCAACTCAAGGGTAACAGTTTATTTGATAACATACATAAAAAAACACAAAAAAATCACAAATCTATGTTTTAGGATAAAGACTCAGTAAAAATGGATATTTATCGGGTAAAAACCCATCTCTAGTCTTAATCAATACATGTACTTTAGCTGAATTAGTGTCTCATTTAATATGTTTGCTAATTTTTTACGTTTGACTATTTTTTGGTCTATGGTGTCGCATTCCCAATCCTCGCTTTTCAATAAAAAACGGAGCCATTTTTATTTGATTGATTAGTAAATTGTTCACACAATCTTAAACACTTCTCATCTCTTTTGGAGGACAATGACCCTTAAAGGCATAGGAAGATTCCGGTCTAACTGGGTTGTAGTTAAAAACGAAACAAAAAGAACACACTTAAATAAATTGTGGGCAAATGTACTTGATTTTATTGCGCCGGGAAGAAATAAAAAAATACCACACGTAAATCAAAATATAATTTTTTTAAAGTCGAATTAAACTATGGGAGCTTGTTCTATTATCGAAACACCGTTTGATTAAAACTTACGCCAATATTGCGGAATTTTCCGAACTGAATGTTCGTAACCAGAATAAGCCCCTGGAGTTCAAAACTTTCGAACTTACCTCCACTTTGTCCCACAGCATAGCTTTCACAGTCTTAGCTAGATGCGGCAGAAACAAAGCTCTGGCAGCCGGTACGCGGCAAAGGGGGCCTCGGACTAGCTCCAGAAGGGCCAGCATCCTTTGTTTGCTTAAGCGACCCAGAGGTAAAGCCTCCAAGGCTCGGACTATGTAGGCACTAGAAAAGACATCAGGGTAGTTATCAGTTTCATGAATAGTCATAAAAGAAAAGTTATTGTTTATGATGTTAGTTTATTCCTTGTTCTCTTCTTTATTTTCTTTTTTCAAATTAATTTTCAAATATAATTTTTACCCTTACTGCTGTCTGTGAGACTGGAAGCGGGGTTAGTATATTCCGTTCAACCATTTAACTTTTGACAGCTCGAAGTCTAATCAGTTAGTGACGTCCTAATGCGTTTCCGATTCGATTTTATTTATGAAGAAGTTTAAATTAATGTTCAATAAAGAAGGGTTCAATAAAGAAGATATTGTCTGATTGGGATCGTGACGTTGCGTTTGACAATTTGTGTACTCAAAAATTAATAATTAATGTTAATGAGGGTTCAAGTGATTATTCCCGTTAATATGGAGAAGAATTTGATTTATCAATCAACTTGAATAATCTTCGTTACATAATCTGTTGGCTCGATAAATATCGGAGCTAAAGAGCACATCGCTTCACTAAAATTTAAAAAAATAAAAGAGTCCAGGAAGTATTGCATTTTTTGTCTATGATTGTTTATCAATAACTACGGAATTTTGGAGGCATGCATACGTCAAAGCTTAAATAGATGGTTGGACAGAGTATAATATTACTACGTCCGTGGTTCGATTCCCGAGCTGAAAGAAATTTTTGTATGCGTATATTTCTCTCGTAAGTCGGTGTAATTTGTACACAACCGTCTATGTATGTGTCCATGGCACCCGTAATACAGGGCTCTGAGAGTCGTATTCCAGAACTCTACTCAATACTGAAGTCAGGACTTGAGTATTGCAGTGAGCACTGAAAATCATACTCAAGTCCTTGCCATTAGGGTCGTATTTCCAGTGCTTGTGTTGCCAGTGCAATCCTGACTTGAGCATTGAGTAGAGTTCTAGAATACGACTCTGAGTGTGTCAGTTATTATTATTACTTTAGACTCTCGCGTCTCCCAATGCCTATAAGATTAAATTAGAATTTTTAAATGGGGAGAGGCGGTATTTCACGGCAATGGCACATTTGGCCGGGGTCAGGGACTCAAGTTCAAGAACCGGCGAACAATAAGTGCCGTATCGAGCTGGACCGCCTCCTGCATTATTATTATAGACCGGCGAGGTTGCTAGTATGTTACAAATAACCCTGTATAGACAGACACAACAGTCAAAGAATATAACAAGCGACATTTCTGCAAACCTGAGCTCGGCCTCGGGGTAGACGGTGAGCGCGTGTGGCACGGCGTGCGGCAGATACTTGAGCGCGCAGCCCTGGCACGTCAGCGCGTGGTCGCCGCAGCGCATCAGCCACACCAGCGCGTTCAGCAGGCTCTGGGCGGGGACCGTGTTGCAAGTACATAACCAGAAGTACAGACGCAATAAGGGCCGTCCATCCCTGGCCACTCATCAGGCAAACGGGCCTTATATCACTTTCAAATAGCAACTCTCGTTTGCACCGAAATCACAAATTAGAAAGCTGAAATAATAGGCCGCCAACAACTGACCTGTGTGTACGTCTCCGTATATTCCAAATTATTATAATAAAGATAATATCTGTAACAATGACGGGCTGTTCCATTCGATGGTATGGGAAAAGCAGCAAAATATCTAATTACAAAACAAACGGAATAACATTTCATCGGTATTTAAATATGTAATTTTTCAATTTTCGTCCATTATAGCAAAGCTCAAGGTAAACTGGTGGATTTGAAGTGAAACAATTGACGACACCCGTCAATTGTTTCGAATTCGGGCTAGCCTATCGGAGCGCAGTTGTCACCGTAACGATATGGCAGAATAGTTTTTATTTCTGGTTATATACTCGATGCAAGTAAATAACGGTATCACGGACCCTGATAGGGTATTACAAATTGTACTTAAAACTAGTTTGTATAATCATTATGTGTAATATTAGTTTCCGCCATTGAGATGTCTGTTTGAATTATAGTATGAATCACAATTAGATGTCTAAAATGTAAACAAAGAAATGTCAATGTCAAAGTCCGAATGCAGGTGTGCTAAACCTATATTTAATGAAATTGGAACAGGAGGTTTTCAATTTCTACAATTTTAATAATTATCTATTTCAAAACATAACAATAAACAATAATTTAAAAAAACTCACTGCGCAGATAAGAAAACTTTCGAGTTCGAGAAACGAAACAAGCAAATGGCGGCACAAAAAATGTTTTTCCTCCCGATTGTGTAACTAGCGCCATAAAATTATTTACTGTTTTAACCATAGTCTTTTATTATAATTATTGCATTAAACGAAATTAAGTAAATCTTTAGCGTCGGTCGACGCTTGCTCAGGTTTCATTACAAGCACTCGCGTCAACAACGAGCTGCAAAGACTTGCATAACAAATAGCTATCGGTTGAATTAGAACAAATGAATGGGAAGGGGCGTACCTCGAACTGGTAGCGGAAGTCGGCGTGCGTGACGCTGTCGCCCAGCGCGCTGCGCAGCTGGCGGCTGCGCGCCACCACGCGCACCAGACACTCCAGGCACTTCATGCACTGCAGCAGGCGCTTGGTCTCGCCGCCGTCCGCCGTCGTGATCACCCACACCATCACGGCGATCAGCTTCCTGCGCGGGAGCCGTGGACGGCGTCGGTCATATTATTTTTTTGACAACTTTACAAGACTTTTGAAGAAATAATCATTTATATCATAACGTAGTGTACACACATACATGTGTAATAAAAATATTTAAAAACTACATATTTTTATTTCATAAACCAGATGCTATATAAATGACGCAAACAATTTTTTTCTTCATCCGGTAAAGTTGTCAAAATGGAGATAGTACCCATTGCTAGTTCATAGTCGATATATAATAAACTACCTATTATTGACAGTCGTCTTCAGAAAGTCTCAAATTCATTTAAGGGGCAATCTATACGCTTCTATAATAAGATTCCGAATGATATTCAAAATTTGCCATTTACGAGGTTTAAAACCATTGTTAAACAAAAACTTTGACACTGAAGGTTATTATTATACAACTTCTGCGTATTCGGATGACAAAAAAAAGATGTTTAAATTAAATATTGTAATGACATATGTCAGAGTAGAGTTTCTTGCTCATTCTTCTCAGGGGAGATTGACTTACCAATGAGCAGTAGAGTTTAATCAGTACGACGATTTCAAGTGTAAGTTGCTTACCTATGATATAAAGTTTAATTGACTTTAACATGAGGGTAACGCACTCTATAAGCATTTACAGCTCCCATATACACGCTTACACTTCAAATAAAGTAATACCAATTTGTAAATAAAATAATACCAATGATTTAAACGAATTTGATTATAACATAAAGCCTCTCCTTAAGAAGAGACTCGTGCTCAGGGACGGGGCGTGTATTTATTTTATTTAACCACTTTGTACAATTTACACTAATAATGTCAATAAATAAACATGTAAGCCTTTGTCAATATGGGTCGAGTCGAGCGGACGGTGATGGTGATGAAAGCAAGCTGCGGAATTTCGAACACGGAACTTCGGGCGGTGACCGTTTCCCTGTAGTAACCAGCAGATATCATAATTAGGGATTCTTCTTCAGATGTCAGATTTTGTATTGGATTACACATTAACTGCTTCCGTAGCCGAACAGTTACCACGCGCAGAGGCCCCAGGTTCGATTCCCAAGCCGCGATAAATATTTGTATGGTCTATATTTACTTCTCTCGTGAGTTGAGATGTAATTTGTGGTGTTCTACGTGTGTGTGCTTAGCATGAGTGTGCGTTATTATTACACATTCTACTACTGAGCATGAGCCTCTTCTAAAGAATGCGGGTTGGAAAATTCAAACATTTTCCAAGGATTGTAAACTTTCTTTAAGGTGCGCGTTTCATCAAGTTCCCTCACCATTAAACAACATTGATATATCATGTCACCATAATAATTCTGAATTCGTACTATGCTATCACCGCGGAATTAACATGTACTTACTCATAAGCCAGCGCATCACAAAAGCTCTCGTCGATATAAACATGCAACACGGGCTGGAAGTGCTGGTATTTGTGGTCGGCCACAAGCGATATCACGTGCAGCAAGCACTCCAGCACCAGCACGCCGTACGACTTGTCCGTGTATCCTTCTTGATCTTCATTTACCTGCGTAACATAGTTGAAAGGGCGTTATTCAGTTACATTGTTACTCTCGAAATACGACTGGGCAAATTTTAACACGTAACCGTATATCTTATTTAGACTGTCGTAGCAGACAAAAATGTTATAAAATGTAATGTGACCTGAAAATTACCCAGGTTAGTTACCTCTAACTAATTTCGGTGGCAATTTTTATTATTTGAATATTCTAGAATATTACCATGAAGTACTATTTAATACGGTACCACGGAAATAAAGTACACAAAACTAACCTGAAAATCACCCAGTGTTTTTTGAACGTGCGTGTAGTGTAAACGACGTAAACGGACGAAATTTAATACGTCCGTTTTTCTCCCTAAAAGACAGAATCTTACTTGCGTAAGAATGCTGAAGAGGGCGTCGAGAATATCCTGAAGAAACTTGACTATCTCTTCACTAGGTACGTGTAGCAGTCGCATCAGCGCCTGGCGCAAGGTGCCCTCTGCCAGCTGCGTGCTCCATTTCAGTACGCCCAGGATCTCCTCTGGAGTCAAGTCAACGGACGCGTTAGAAGCGGGCAAAAACGAATGTTGAGCAGAGAAGTAGTAGCAGTAGAGCTCATTGTGAAAGAGTTCGTCGGTGGAAGTACTGTCGCCTTAACTATTTCTGCCCTCAAGCAGTAATTTGAGCTTTGTTGCGTCCAGGTTTTGAAGGGTAAGGGTGCTGGTGAAATTGCTGGCATACGGGACTTGTGAACTTATGTCTCAGGGTGATGGGCAAAGGCACGGAATAACAAGCTAGTGGAAATGGTATCAAACAGCATTAATACCAAAACAGAACTTTCGTTTGATATCTACTCAAATAGGGACACACTTCGGCACTATTGGAGTAGCAATGAATTATGTCGAACATTGTAGACCTCGGTCTATCGGATCATAAATCAATATTGGACTTTAAAATCAAGGCTATTATTTGGCACAAAACAGAACAGTAAACCATAAATCATATAAAATACTCTCGGTGTGCACACGTTAGACTTAAGTGAGTGTTGAACCACAACAAAGGTCGGTCATGACCAGGGATGGGAATTCCGATATCTGGTTATGATAGATATATCATAACAACGCAACGGTTACAAGGAAACGCCCACTTAACACTTCCACTAGTTTTGTTATTCCGCGGACGCAACAGCCGGAATTTTGTTCTTTTTTCTACATAAGTTTTGATTATAGTGTCCTTCCTTACCGTCCTTTAGGGCATATGAGAAGGGCACGATACCTGTGCAAGCACAGCACCTTCTAAGTTCAGGTCCTGACCCCGGATCAGCCAGTAATAAAACTAATTAACGGTTTGCCACCGCTAAGCCGTCGACTGTACAGTCTCCCGCCAAATCTCCTCTTTGGTAGCGGAGCGGTAGACACGCTTCCCCCCGACACCGAAGCGTCTCTTCAGTTCCCAGAAACCTACGCAACTGGAGAGATCGGTGATTTTTTTTATAATATCAAGTGACGGGACGAACAAGGAAGCTACGCGCCTGTCCATAACAGTTGCAGTGTCCTCGGAGCTTTAAATCGCAAAGACCCGGGGCACCCGAGCTAGAAGTCCCTTCACCTCCCCGACTTCCCGGAGACTCCCGAAGGAGAGCGTACCTCGCTGCGTGAGCTTGGTGGAGCAGAGCTTGGTGGCCACCTGCAGCGAGTCCTTGTGCACTAGCGCCAGCACGCCGCGCGTCAGCCCCTTCTCGGCGCCCGACGGCAGCTCGTCGCGGCGCTCGGGCAGCCCCAGGCACAGCGCGCAGGCGTCGGCCTCCGCGCCGCCGCCGCCGCCGCCGCGCCGCAGGTCCATCTTGTACACGCACAGCTCGTGCGCGCCGTCGGGCGCCGTGGTGCCCTCGCGCTGCATCAGGCGCAGGTACGACAGCGCGAAGTGGCGCTCGGCGCGGTCCTTGGCCTCGTTGGAGCTGCGGTGGCGGCACAGGAACACCAGGTGCGCCTCCTTGAACTCCTCGATGTTCAGGCACACCTGCGAGGTCCGCCAGGTCGCTTTTAGACGGCGTCGAGGACGCAAAACGTCACTGGTCTGCGTTCTGACTGCGACCGTCCGCGACGTTTAAAAAACCATAAGTTTTCAAAATAGAAAACAGTCTTAAAATGAAAATGAAATGCTATGTGTTGATTCTCGCCATATTTACAGAAGTTATTCTATATGCAATCACCTGATCCAAAGGTCATAATTTTTGCACGGCACGTCCTACCAAACAACGGACCGTCAAAGAAACCGCCAGTGTTGTTATCTCTTTCTCAAACGCAAGCGCGCACCTCATCACCTCACCATACCGGGATAACCGCCAAGATCGCCGCAACCAATTCTATCCAGTCTACCGTAAAATATGAGCGTGATTTATTGCGTAAACAGGCGATTTTTCTGTTCACAAAAACTGTATTACCATTAAATGCTTCTTCTCATTATGGACGCCAAGTGCGTGACTATTACTTATGGGGTGATGTGAAACGTTTAGTTTACACGGGGAAGATTACGAGCATCGAACAATTCCAAGCAAAAACCGTCTCCGCTTTCAAACTTGTGACGACTAAGTTAGCTTTCAAACTAGCGCTCAGAACGTTGAAATGAAACACGTCAATGTACGAATTTTGCATAGCCAGTGATGAAAAGACCTAAATCTAATGGAAATCTAAATTACAAAAAAAATAAACATTTTCAGTCAACTTCCCTAATTATTTATAATAATAAAAAATGGGTAATTAAGCGATCTAATTACGTATCATTTGAACGCTCAGGTCCCCTCGGGGTCACTGCCCGCGCGCGGTGCATACGAATTAAAGATAATTTTACAAAACTTTACGAGATACAATTAGTCAGAATATTGAACAGAATATATTTTTTAAATATTTTTAGGTGATTTAAAATTATTTATATTATTAATTTGTTAAATATGGCGAGAATAGAAAACAACGCACTGTATACCTTTATCTCGTAGATTACACTCGACACAATATTTACTTCCAATATTATAAATCAAAAACAATTTCCCCTTATAATATAAATCCTTGGCCGCTACCATAGCTATATAATTGAGGCTAGTAGCGTGAATACGAATTAACCCACATTTTTTTTCTGCAATATAATAATAATAAATTGATGCGTTACAGGAAAAAAGTAGAAAATATTATATTTGACTGAGGACCCCGTGAATAAACTAAAACTTCTGTGACAGCTGGTTCAATTACTGTCTACAATATATTGTTTGATTTATTTTCATTCATTTTAGATAGGTGTCATTGTACAAACTCATATTTTGTTTTTATTCACGTATTTAATGGAACAACCTGGTTTGTTAGTGAGTAAACATATTTTTTGTAAGATTTGTATAAGACTGTATGTTTTCCTAAATAAATAAAAAAAACACGCATAAAACTTTCTACGATGACGCGTACGACGAGTTACGTTCAAAAACAAATATTTACAATGCTTTGTTTATGTACGTAGTATTATTTCATATGTTTTTATCTGCAACTTACGAGATTTCAAGTTTTATGAATGAAACTTATATTATTTTATAACGTATATTTAGCTGAATATAAATCACGACAAAAAAAAATTGCGAGTCCGAAGGATATTGTTCTTTAGTAATTGAATATTTTTATTACAGCTTACATGTATGAAACGAAACTGCATAAAACCTTTGACGTCGGATGTGAAGAGCATACTTCAATCACTGTGATAACAAGATAAAATAAACAATGTATAATTTTGAATTGTTATATGAAAAACAATTACCTTAAACACCTCCTGCCATCTTGGTTTGTCGTCATGGTAGTAAACCAGAGACGTGTACTCGTCCACAAGGCCTGTGCCGGCGCCTATCGAAATCACGCCCTAAAAATAAATTCGTAACATTATATTAAAATATCCGAATACATTTTTAAAGATTGGTCCGAGAGTTATCAGAATTCTTATGTGTGCAAATCTTCATATCAGTAACATTGTACGTTAAGAATGATTAGATATAGTTTTACAAGATATTTTTTCTCAAAATGTGCAGAATGATAAGCCTAAAACTTAAAATCGTTCCAATGCTCTTTAAAATGGAAAGATTAAAGCCTTTCGGTGCAATTGGTCTACTTTCCCGATCGGTCCACTTTCGCTATTCGTCTACTTTCCCGATCGGTCCACTTGTTTTTCCCATTTCGTCTACTTTCCTGTTTGGTCTACTTTCTCATTTAGTCTACTTTCCCATTTGGTCTACTTTCCCGATCGATCTACTTTAATGATGCGTCTACTCAAATAATCTCAGTACAGAGCATTTAAAAATCCGACCTCAAATGTTTGTGGAACCACATCTATTTGCCAAGTTTTATTGAAATCGGTTACCAGAAAGTGCGCGAAACCGGATTGACCCCCTAGTTTGCCCATATTTAAATGGGATCACTAGTGAGGTACCCTCTTTCCAACAAAAATAATCATTAAAATCGGTTCACAAATAACCAGAGTTATCGCGTAACATATATACAAAAAAATATAGTCGAATTGAGTATCTCCTCCTTATTTGAAGTCGGTTAAAAACTAACTGTCTACTTGATTTTGATTTTTCAAATCATGTTTAACGTAAAGCGGCCATCATTATTAAAAAATATACTCCATGATAATCTGCAATTACGCAAGTACAAACTTTCTTCGAAAATTTGTAAAACGAATTTTATTGATTTACATGCTCAAAAGGCGGACCATTTGGACAAGAAGACCAATCGGACAAGTAGACCGATCTGGAAAGTAGACAAAATCGAAAATGGACGACTCGGGAAAAACAAGTGGACCGATCGGGAAAGTAGACGAATAGTGAAAGTGGACCGATCGGGAAAGTAGACCGATTGTACCGATGGGGATTAAAGAACGTCTAATGTTTTTGTCTCACGCACCCACAAGCTTCAACTTTTTGAAGAAACAAAAAACAACACGTATTAGCGCACAATGTGCTACTTCACTGCATTTCACTGGTTTACTTATTCTACACATAAAGTAACTATAGTTTTTAAAGTAATTTACTACATTTTATGCAGCCCGATTCGATACGAAAGTTTGTTAGTAAATAAACCTATGAATGCTAAGTGTTGCTAATTTAATTACCTACGAATTGCCATGGACCTTCTACATACACTATTTATGTAGCCCTTTAAAAAGAAACACCCAAATAGATATAGATACACATGTAACACCATTTATCGTTGAGATTTACAAAATACAAATTAACCATATTTTGTATTAATTTGCTATTATAATCATTTTGTTACGATATTTTAAGAAAGCTTTACATCTGACAACGATTCTGGTATTGAAACAAATTAAACAGTAATTTGTTGGAATAAGGTTTCAATTTACGTGAACGCTATTCGACTAGAACCCGATTTATTAGGGCGGCCGAGAGCCGCCATTTCGACTCATCCGAAGAACACAGTCCGTTGTGATTATATAGCGAAAAGAGAATAGGTACATTACAAGAATAATTTCGTTATTCAAACTAAGGCTCATGTATAAGTGTTTTGAGAATTTATGTACCTTATTTCGTTTCGGAAATATAAAATCAAACAACAGTCGATCTGACATCCACAGCGAAGAAGAACGAACGAAATATACTCCTGAGAACAAGTAGTCTTGATCTTTGTTCTTCGGATGAGTCGATTTCTTTAGATGTTACAAACCGGACTTTTGCGAATGTGTGCGTGTGTTTTGATAGGAGCGCTTAGATTTCAAGAAAGAAATAGAACCCGCAGATCCGTCGGCTTACCTCGCTCTGATTGGTTGAGATGCATCATTTAATAGTGAATATTTTAAATATGTTTTTTTAAGTGCAATATAGTATGCGAGGTTTAGTACAATTTTTTGGTAATACGCGGAAAATTTTAGGCAAGCTGGTGGGATTCGAGTTATATGGACGCCTGGCCACTGGTAAGTAATATATATGTGTAACAAAAAAGTGTAACTCACAGGCAAAACCTGTCCGTGTTTGTCAACAACCCTTGCAGTCAGTTCTATGTTCCTCTCGGAGGACTTTCCCCCTCCTTTCGAAAAGGAGCCGCTGCACAGAGTGACGTAGAGGTCGTTTCTCGCGTCTCCAGGCAGTATCACCTCGGGGAAACCCATTTTGCGCGCTACAGCCGTGTTTCCTACCACTATGTGTGGGTTTTCCTCGCGAATCTGCGAAATTGGAATGTCAAAAAAAGAACGTGAAAAATAAAATTCACAACCAATCGGAATCGGTATAATTGGATGCTGTTATGCAATGTTGTGTCAATCCACCTGAAAAAATGCACCTGCGAAAATGTCACCTAAATATTTTTTCGTTGTTTTTGATAGTTTGTTCGTTATTTACTTGTGAAATGAGAAGTTTTAAAGGTGTCAAGGAATGATGAATTGTTGTGATTTATCACTATAATTCCCTGACAAAAAAAGCACAACAGCGAAAGTTTTAATTTTATAAGTAATTTCAGAATAAACTATCAAAAGCAACGAAAATATCTTTAAGCGCCATTTTCGCAAAACTATGATCATATTAATAATTATAATAACGCACACACTCATTGCCCCGCACTAGGGAACCCCGTAACGCGGGTGCCATGGACACACACATAACTACAAATTACACCTAAATTCACGTAGGCCACACAAATATTTCTCGCGGTCAAGGAATCGAACCCGGGAACTCTGCGTGGCAGACCAGCATGGTAGCCATTCGTCGTAACTGATCATGGTTCGCAATAAATATTAGACAACTTCACAGACGTTGCTCGGATCCCAAAGTAAGCAGTTAGAGCACATGTGTTATGGAAATCGGAAACAATGATGGTACCACAAACTCCGAGACCCGAGACAATACAGAAAAGTTATTTTATCTACACTGGCCCGGTCCGGGATCGAACCCGGGACTTCAGAGATCGTGACAACATGAAAACCGGTGTGCAAGTCTCTCGACCACAGAGGTCGTTAAACGGTTATTATACATTAGGTTTAAACGGCTCTGTTTGTAGCTAACTATAAAAGTAAAAGTTTGATAAATGCCTGTTTCAAATCTCCCTCGACGAGCTGCAGCGACACCCACATCCCCTGCGAATGCTTCGCGTCCTTCAGCTCGCGTTGGTTCATTATCACTTGCTTCAGCAGTGTCTCCATCTTTTCTTTTTCACAACTATTTGTAACAAAATAGCGCCTTAAGCTCATAAACGTGGCAAATGGACGAATTTATTGAGTTAAAAAACCGACTCGTCCTACGTAAAGTATCGTATGTCGAAATTGACAAGTTTACAGGGGAGCGTTAAGTTTTGAATTCACTGAAATGTGTATACATAAAGGTGCGTACTTTAGCATTGAAATGAATAAATTAAATTGTAAAATTATAAAATAAATTGTGGTTAATTCAATTTTTATTGAATTGATATTCAATTATTTTTTGTGAAATGACTCCATTAGTTTGTTATAATTATTAATACAAAGATCGAACACTCAGAAAAAATTCCTTTGATTCGGTCGGATTCGAACCGACGTCTTCTTGCATACCGTGCCAGGCGCTATACCAACTAAGCCACGGAACGAACCAACGGACCTCACGAATTTTTCTATGTGCTTGCGTCGTGTCTTTGTACTTGGTCTTTCTACGACTTTTTAGTCGTATTCACTGTGTTAATTGAATTTTTATTGAATATCAATTCAATAAAAATTCAATTAATACAGTGAATAGCGACATCTCTCGCCTGGACTGGTAGCTGTAAAGGTACTAACTGGGTGATAAATCTGCAATAGATTTCTCATAGATGGCGCTACGACTAAAAAGTCGTTGAAAGACCAAGTACAAAGACACGACGCAAGCACATAGAAAAATTCGTGAGGTCCGTTGGTTCGTTCCGTGGCTTAGTTGGTATAGCGTCTGGCACGGTATGCAAGAAGACGTCGGTTCGAATCCGACCGGATCGAAGGAATTTTTTCTGAGTGTTTTTTCTGAGTGTTCGATCTTTGTATTAATAATTATAATAAATTGTGGTTGTTCATCTAACCGATATCTAGGATTTTATAATACTCTGTGTGTGCTTTGCCAAATAAAACTGACAAACTTGGCAATTTCTACATACTTTACGCAGGAGAGGTCGAAATGTAGTCTAGAATTTACGTTGCAAATAAAACGATTCATTAATAGTACATTATGCGAAAATATTTAAGTAAATCTTGTTATAGCCTCCTAATGGAATCCTTTTTTATGATATCAAGCGACAGGTTGAACAAGCTGTCCACAACAGTTGCAGTGCCACTTAGAACTTTAAACCATAAACATTTGAACATACGTTGACAAGGCCCTTGGGTCTGTTACTTTCACCAGCACCTCCACTCTTCAAAACTGGAAGGCAGTAATGCTCATATTACAGAAATAGGTACTTTCTGATAGAATCTTTCTTTTTATGAGATCATGTGATGGAACGAAGAAGTCGTGCGCATGGTATCAATCTACCATTGGCAGTTGCAGTGCCACTCTGATCTTTACTCGTCGTCCTGAGACATTAAGTTGTCCTTCAAAACCACGTAATGCTCACATTACTATGTGGTGGCAGTACTTCCTTGAAAAAATTCTTTCACAAAGAGCTCTACTCTCATGTGTACTTATGGTACTGCAACATAGAACTGCAGCATTTATGAGTAGTTTCAAATATTCGGCTTCAAAATGCTGAAATAATATTCTACCACCTATACGTGACGAATCTTCCAAACATAAATACAAAGCGCTTTGCCGGCAATACAAAACTCTGTCTCGTTACAAAAATCTGTCTAGTTTGTTGAAATTTTATCATTATTATTAGTTTTCATATGCCCATGTTCTCTTTTTCGCAGCGTTTCTATATATAAATTTTTACTTTAATTTATTATATTACTACATATTTACAATCGTAATTTTCAATTACAGTTATATTTTAATATTAAAAAAAAATTATAATAATTTATTATTTCAATTAACAATTTCCCTCCTAGTTATTTATGATACTACAACTTCTAGATTCAGTCCCTCTGACTGAAAACCAGCGCCTTACTTAACTATCTATCTAATGCTACTAAATCGTCTCCTGTAAGGCCGAAATATGGGCCGTACGATACTCACGGGTAGAAGGGCACTTGTATGTGCTTGTCGGACTGGTCGGCGGCGAGGTAGCGCGTGACGTCAGCGCAGGCCACGCCGAAGGGGCGCCGCATGGACGTGGCGCCGGATGGCGGCGGCGACGTGGGCGCGATGGAGCTCCGTCTGAGGGGGATGCAACTACTTCGCGACCTGGCACACGTTTGCGGCACTAAAAGATCGCAAATAGAATGCCAGCCGCACAATCTTAAGCCTCGCGCGACTGTGTGTGTGGAAAAAAGTCCATTTTGAAAAAAATCGTTTTTTTTTTTAGAGAAATAAACATTTTTTCGGACATTGTCCCATATTTGACGTCAGTCGCATCAGTCAAAATTTGAAGTTACTGAACGAACGATAAAGCCAATATAATCTCGTTTTCTCTAATTTGCTTTTAGCTATACAATTCCATAGCATTATTCACGCTAAATAGAACTACAAAAGATACTTGTATACATTGGTATTGGAACTTCACACACATCATGAAATTACATTGCAGATAATTATGTTTTGTTTATAGCGATCTGATCAAGACATTTTCTTTCACAGAAAAGCTCATGGCAGATTTCAAATTTAATTTCGTATATCAATTCCGAAAACTCAGAGGTGCAAGCCAGGATTCGAACCCACGACCCTCTACTTGACAGACGGTAGGTCAAAGTATTAGTCTACCTTGGCTTTCATGGACAACATTTTATTGCTCAAGGAATTTTCAGATTAACACTGTTGCTTTAATCTGTAATGTAAAATAAAGTAACCTTGAAAAGTTAACAAAAAACTTAATAGTATGTAAATAAATAAAAAAATACCTATGGTCAACATTCTGCGCGTCCATGGCGCCTATTCGCACGACGTGGCATACGAGAAACAACTTTTCTCTCTTTATGTCGCCACCCAGGTCCTGAGAAAAACATGGCATGTATTAAAATTTTAAATAGTAAACTACCGTGATACTCAGACATATTATTAAGTAAACTAAAGCGTGAAACAGACAGAGAGCGGGTGCGGATCGGGTGCGACCACGGCGGGCCTAACTCCTTTATATGGACGACAACACAACGAGCGCGGGCGCGGGATGGGCGCACGCGCCGCGCTCCCGACCTGCACTCGCTCTCGTTTCACGCCTAACGAATTATTGCTCGAGATTGTTTCGAACCAGTCCATGGTCCCTTAATCACGAGTTTCCGCGTCAGTGACTCGACGGAAACTGCATGCCAAAGCCCTGACGGCTTCGTCACTCAGTAAGGGCGTTGGCGTGGGCAGCGGCGAGCAACACCCTCTTTTGCTTCGTTATAATTAGTCGTATAGGATTGCACAGTACACTATCCTAAGACCACGGACTGGTTCGAAACGTGCCAATAAAAAATTCGAGTTAAATATGCGAGTTATCTATTGCTTAAAAATTTACTATGTTTATCCTGCCTTCATACAAAATCATTATGAATGAATATGTCCATAACTTTCTTTAAATCACAAACCAATGTGATATGATCAATACTAGGCCATACTACAAAAAAAAAACAACTACAAGTTGTCATTGTGATCATTTAAAATACTTACTTATTATTCACATTAAACTCTATACTGCTTAAATGTTAATATCCCGAATCAGTACAGAGCATTTAAAAATCCGACCTCAAAAGTTTGTGGAACTACATCTATTTGCCAAGTTTTATTGAAATCGGTTACCGGAAAGTGCGCGAAACCGGATTCATCCCCTAGTATGCCACCCTTAGAGGTGGAATGTTTTCTTCAAATTTAAATGGGACCAAGACTGATGTAACATCTTTCCAACAACACATACCGGAGTTATCGCGTAACATACATAAAAAAACAATCGAATTGAAAGAGAAAGTCGGTTAAAAACAACCTAGACGATCGCAGATTCATAAAATTTCGAATCGATTTCTCGTGGGAATCGATTAACAGGGTTACCGATATGCTTAGTTCACATCCCTATTTACGATGACAAGTGTCAAAAGGTGCCTCTTATTTTGTGACGACTATAGGCGGAAAATCGATTCCTTAACGTAATCTACTCGTACCTACACGATTCCATACAAAATCAAAGGCAAACGTCGTCCTCGTGTCAAGTTTACTTATATAGATGTATATCTATATAGTTACTTAGCAAGTAGTCTTCAAGTGTGATATAATTCACTGATAAAGATCTTTAATTTTTTGTAACAGCGTCGTAATACATCTGTGCAAAATTCTACATATCACCTTTTGTTTTAAACCATAGCTTCCCAAAGTTGTCGCTTATACTAGAGCGGGAGGTCCAGGTGTGGTACCGCATTTCAAAAAATGGATTATCTATATAAACTACTGCAATACAAATACATATTTTTCGTTGGATTTTTTGTGTTCATATAAAAATATGTGTTTTCAACTTTTTTGGTTCAGGCGTTGAAATTGTTTTGACTTACAAAAGTGGGCCAAAAAGTTCGAGAGCCTGTGTTTTAAACGATGGAAATTGTAATAAATTTTAATGATATCCAGAAATGAAACAAGATATTAAAAAAAAGTGTAACGTGAAATGAATCTTAAAGCTACGAAACAAAGTACAAACTAATCACTGTCAGTACGATTCTACGTCTTTTTTTAAACCTTTACTGCAATTTTTAACTGTTCACTTCGACGTCACGACCATGACGTACAAAGTGAAAACGGCGCATTGAGCTCAAGTTTGCGGAACTCCGCGAACTGTTGGCACACGTGACACGAAAACTAAGCACTTTTACTGTATTTATTGATCTGTGATCATAGTAGTAACTAAGTAACATATCAGCTGATACGCACTATTGATAAAGGTTCAATAATATAGAGTACACAGACGGCTTATAAAACTTATATTGTGAATAGTAAACAAACGTTACACTTAAGTACATGTAAGATAAAATTGTACGTGTTTTAATATTAGACATAAAGTGTTAATGACTTTACCATCTCAGTCAGTCGTGACCATGGGACCTGTAAAGGGCTCAAAAGAGACAAATATACGCGATTTAGTTCGAAAAGAAGTTTCATTCTTATAAAATATAATTTAAGGGACTTTTCGTTTCAATGAAAATCTTCAAAAGTAAAATCAGATAATGTTCTATATTCAAACATGTTGCATCTTTTTATTTAGTTAGGCAATAAAATAATCTCAGTACAGAGTACTAAAAAAATCGACCTTAAAAGTACGTGGAATTACACATAATTACCAAGTTTTATTGAAATCTGTTACCGGAAAGTGCGCAAGCCAGGATTCATCAAGTTCTGAGAACTTGACACAGGGGATGATAAAAATCGGTTCTCACTACTCAAAGTATATTGAGAGAGAAAAACGCCTTGAATT